AAAAAAAAAAAAAAAAAAAAAAAAAAAAAAAAAAAAAAAAAAAAAAAAAAATTGAACAAAAAGTGTTGATCATAATATGGTCTGGGAATTATGCATAAAATAGTGTAGACTGATTGAGCAAAAAAATCTACGGAAATTTTTTTTCATCTATTTTGAACTGCATCAAAAATTTGAGGGTAAACGCTATGAGCGACCATATTAAATGTTCAATAATTGTATAAACAAAAAATTTACTTTAAATTGCAATTTTTTTTTTATCTAGACACATCAAGATACAAACATTTGCTAGAATCTTTATCTATCTAAAATGAACCACATAGTGTGTGGAAAAAATATTTTTTCAGCAAATAATAAAAATTCTATTGTTAATAATCAATAGAATAAACCATTTTTAAAACATTCATCCCATTAGTCCAGATAAGTCAACCTTGTAAAGAAAAAAAATTAATTTATCTGTTTGTTTACAAAGATCTTGAGTGTTGTTGCCGAACTTTAAAACCAATATAAATATGCATGAAAAATTCACTTTGCAACTATAATACAACCGCACAGATCCTGACGGCGCATAGAAACTCGTGCTTATTTGACAAATTTGTTAGTCATCTTTTTGTATAACGCAGGTATGCCTGATTTATTACGCGACTAGATTGTACGAAGCAGTACAAAGTCGCTACATGAAATCATCATAATCATTTGCATCGTATGCCGCCAAATCACCGTATTCGCTATCGCCCTCGACCTTCAACTTGGCTTTACCTTTACCCTTGCTTTTTTTAACTTTTTCTTTCTCCATTTTGAGTTTTTCATTGTGTAAACTTTCTACTGTGGTTTTCACTTTTCTAAGAGAAGTGATGCTGACTGAAAACAGAAACAAAAATCCACGCTGATTTACCAAGTATGTTTAAGCAATGCAAAAAATGTGGAAATATCTACTTACGTGTTATACAAATATTCTTTATTAGCTCTTCAGCAAATGAAGGAAATTCTGCATGCTTATTAAGCTGATTGAATTTCGAGATCAGTGCATCATGGAGTTCCTTGAATTCATCAGCAGTAGTGGGAACCATAGCATCGATTCCAGATAATCCCTCTGTTACACCTTTAAGAAAAAAGTAACTTTAACACCGAAATGCCGTATTCAGCATTGCAAATAATTCTTTTTTTTTCTCGTACAAGTATATGGTTTAAAAGTTAGAAGTTATCATTAGAGCTGTACAGCAACAGAGAAAATGAAATATAAATTTTGTTTCCTTTCAAAATTAAAATAATAGATATTGTAATTTATACAAATTGAATACATTGATCATTCTTTAGGAATTTGTTTTTTCTTGTTTTTTTTTTTTTGTTTTTTTGAAAGACCCTATATCATTATGAAATTGTAAGATTATTAATTAAAATTCACGTGCGTCAAGGATATTTGAAAACTAAATGTAACACAATGGCTTGTTTTTAGAAAATAGTACTTTTATTGACATACAGTTATATTATCAGTAATTTTTAACGCTTTATTAATAAAATTAGTCATGTCACGACATAACACTTATACGTATTAGAAGTCTCAGAACTAAATGAAAATTTATATGCCGAGTGTATTGTTTGAAGTATATCAGTATGTACGGTCTTGGCCATTAACCTAGAAAACTCTGAGATCACTCGGAGCACCTTAATTCAATAAATCTAAAGAATTTACAGATCGTACGTTTTTTACCACCAACCTCGCCAGTGGACGTTTATGCACGTAAAATTTAAGACATTATCTTTTTAATCTCCTAAGGCATGTAACATACTGTACATTTCTAAGAAAATAAGCGGCTTGACGTATGCACAAATACATGTATACATATACGTACAAAATACAAACTACTTTTACAATAATTTTAACTGTTGTAAAAAAAAGCTTAAGGTAGTACTGTCGTATATTGACTGACTTACAAGATTTTTATAAAATTGAACATATTAGGTTATAAGTACCCAAAAAAGATCTATTTAAATTTTAGTGGATCTAGGGTATATAGGGGAAATTTTACTACTCATCAGTTTGACACGTATTCTTATAGAAAACGGCGATTTATTTATCATTTTAAAAACTGACCTACAAGATGTTTGTAAAGGTTTACAGAGAATACGCTAAAACATAAATTACATGTTGATCACCTCAAAACATTTATTTGGTGACTGTAAGATCTTTAATTAGCGATTGAATGAATAAAATTAAGTTGAGCACGGGTATTACATCTATACGTACAATACATATAGATGTACTAACGCATTGCCATTGAGATGAAATTCTCAGTTGTTTGAGGGTATCAACAGTACTATCGTAAGTTTCACGCAAAATTACATTTTACTTGGGCCATTGTGTATTGCTAAAAATTGAAATAGAAAATTTAAAGTGAAATAAACGAATTTTAGTAAGAGGATTTAAAATGAAACATTTTTATAAAGCACAAAATAAAAAAACATCACAAAAATGGTCGTTGCAAACAATCAACATAGTTTAAAGTGCTTGATTATGCATTTTTTATTTTTCAGGCTAAGTTGTTCCCTAGTATTACACTAACTTTATATATTTGAATTAAAAAATTTTAATCTTAAGGAATGTGGAACATTAAATTTTCACTAATATGCAATAAATTTGAAGTTAAATGTGTTAATTCGTGGTTTTATTCCAAGAAATTTGGAAGATAATAATAATTTTACTAACGAAAGTTAAATAATAACTGTCACTATTTTTTTTTTATCTTTTTATTTTTTTTATTTATTTTTTTTTTTCATAAAAGTAAATAAGTAATCAGCTGCTACCGCTTATAGTTTTTCTCTTTTTTGGGCGTACGAGGACTAAAATCTACAAGATTCAACAAACCGAAAGTCTCCATTGCAAGTCGAAGATCCGCTTCTTCTTGGAGTTTTTGACGCCGCAGCATTTCGGCTCGTCGCTCTTCCGGTGTCATGGCATCTTCCTTCTCTTTTGCTTTCCTCTCGGCTTCTTCACGTGCTTTCCTCTAGAATTAATAAATGTAAATAATTACTTCAGTAAGCTTTGCATTATAAACATATAAGACATACTTTTTAAATGACTTTATACCTCTTTTTCTTCAATTTTTTCTTGTAGAGTTTTTTTAGGTTTAGGTTTAGTTTTAGGAGCTTCTGGGGGCTTTTCCACATCTTTCTTTTCCTCATTTATATCTTCCCAACTATCCTGTATTGATGAAAAACAAAAAAATAGTACTCATTAAAATTTGAAAACAATATGATACATAAAGAGAGCACAAAGTTGGTGATTGACTAATATTGATTGCTTGACGATTACTTAAGTACCATAATGACCCCGTGCACTTATTGCGAACACACAAAGTGAGTTTTTCGTAATGGTGTGTGAAAAATAGGTTGATATACTATTATGAAAAAAAGTATTAAAAATTTTTCAGTACCATTTCTAATTTTATAATAAAACTCTAGACAAGTATGAAACTGTTAGTAACAAACGTGAAACGAGTAAAAAATTGAAATTGAATATACAACTTGCATGAAAATAAAACAGTTAAAAAACCAAGCGTATTTAGTATCAGTAGTAAAGTAGTTCATCAACAAAATCAGAGAATATGTTTAAAATAAAGGTTATAAGTTAATAGGATTATTTACAAAATTTTGATTTTTAATAAAGATCTCATAGCATTATCAAACTATGCTTTCTTTTTTTTTTTTGCTATTAGCACTCGCATAACCTTAATATTTCATAAGGTCTTAAAGAATACATCCATGTTTCGCTCTATACAGTCGTCAGCATTCTCATATATCGTTCTATACAGGATGAAAACGTTACGCATAGACATTTTTTGATGAATAACGTCACACTAAATTTTTCAACACAAAATAACTTATAGTTACTAAAATTTTAAAAACTCGTTTGTTACAAAATTTCGGAACTCAATAATTTTTTATAAAAACTATGTTATTATAATGTATTCCATCTCAAATATTGATAATATAATGTAAATCCAAACATTCTATACAGTTCATGGTTCTTAGCTATGGTATTAATGAAATATGGTTTTGTGACAATGAAGATTTAGTATTTATTATATAAAATTATTTTATAGTAT